CCCTTAAGTAACTCCATAGGAAGCTTCAAGGCTACCATGGCCATTCAGAATTTTTCCAAGGGATGAGGGGGTAAGGTTTTTCCAGTCCTCAGATGAGAGCTATGCTGGGAGGAGGACTTGTCCTTGGGTGAGGTGACTCTCTGCAGCTGAGACAATGCCAATAGCTGAGGGCTAGCTAACAACAGCATTCCAGCAGCTGGGGGAATAAATCTTTTCTTAAAAAATGTTTTTATTAGCACATGATAGTTATACAGGAGGTTTCATTGTGCCGTTTCCATATGCTCATGTACTGTGCTCCAGTTTCTTTCATTCCCTCCATTATTCTGCCTCTTCCCTCACTCCCCTTCTTAAAACGACTTCAACAGGTTTCATCATTCCATATTCATACATGAATAGAAAGTACCTCAACCATGTTCACCCTCCTTTACCCTCTTCATTTACCCTCCCCGCTCCCACGGTTACCCTCCTCTTTACATGAACTGTTTTATATTCCTGTTTTTCATTGTATAAGTGTCTGTTCATTGTTCATTGGGGTTTTGCCTTGGTATTTTATCTGTAAATATATTGCACTTTAATCAGTCTGACCCCCCTCTATTATTCTTCCTTACTCTTTTAAGGAGGAATAAATCTTCGGTAGGCAGTGCATCAGTGTTCACTGTTACAAGTTCCATTCAGTCATATCAGATAGGTATAAGGCAGACTCTGTATGTATAATCAGTGTGGGCTGACATTTACTATATAGGCAAAGGGAGGTTGTGTCTTTAAACCACATATAGGCTCACTTATATGTTCACATGAAGACGTATTTACCCAGGGTGTGTTTCACTTTATTGAGCAAATCCCTATTTTGGCACTTTAAAATGAAATATTGTTGACTTGCTCGGCCAGAACAGCACCAACGGAGTTGTTCTGGGCTGCTGTGTTACAGGGTATTTAGGGTCGGTTAGCTATATAGATTGTAGAGACAATAGACTGGAACGGAGCCTTAGGGGCTCTTATGCTTCATCATTTCAATCTAGCTTCTGTGCATGTACTGCAAGTGTCCTGCCAGCAGAAGTTTATTGCCCTGGGTTTTAGCTTTCCACACCAAGAACACCAGTGCAGGTAGATCATATTATAGGCTAATTGCTTACCAAATTTTATTGTTTTGACATCTCTAAGATAGAGAGTATTTTAGTCATGACAATACACAGCAGAATTTTAATCAAACTGCTTGTTCTATAACTTTTCTGACTTTAATGCTTGAGTGCTGACTTGGTGATTGGGCTGAGCACTTTCTTACATAGGTATTATGTAATTCAGTAGATTACCTACCTTTATAGCTGCTTATAAACAGGCAGATGACACATATATGTTTATATTACCTGAGCTACTATTCCTCTCATCTTCCGGGAATTGCTTGAGGAAAATGCTTGACCTCATCAGGAATCAAAATGAGCTACAACGGACATAATCATCACATGTTAACTGCATCTGAAGTATACTGATGGGATTAAAACTGTTGCATGGAAGAATTAGAGGGAGCATTACATTTGAGCTGGTGCAATTGCTTCCACTTACAGAGGGGAAAACCAAGACCTCCTAAAGGGAAAAGATTTACTCACAGTCATCCTGGATTTGTGGCAGGGAAGGAATTAAATCTTGATAGTCCTAATTCCTAATTAATAGTATTTCCATGTAAAGAACAGTATGAGATTTATTTATTAATTTTTTTATCTTTCAACCCATTACATACAAAAGTAACTTTCACTTTGAAATCTTAAGCCTTGAATTAATTACAGTGAGAAGTAAACAACAGCTATAAAGTAGAAAAGTACTGAGTCCCCTGCTTTCTGTATACTTGTCATTTTCTGTCTGGATAGGGCACTGGACATCCTTGCCATGATATCCGTTAGTTTTGGATCGACAACAGAATATACAAAGGAACAAAAGAAGTGTTTTCAAGGAGCAGAAGTAGAATTAGAGGCCACATAGTGGATAAGAGAGTTTTTAGAGTTGATTAATCCTAGGCATCAGTTCGTCCTGTGCTGTTTTCTGGGTGTGTTACCTCCTGAGGAGCTGGTATTACGAGCATGAACCACCATCTGTGGCTTCAGTGACCATATCTTTAAAATGAGGGTAATTATCCTTTCCTTGAAGGGCCATTTTGAGGAATGTAGCGAATGTAGCATACATGTTTTGCACAGGAGATGTCCAGCTAATATCAGTATGTTTCTCTTTTTAAGATCTAAGACAGCTTGTCAAATCTGTTGCTAATTTTGTTAATTTCTCTTTGATACTCTCCAGTGATAAATGGGTCAGCTCATTGCTCCTTGGGGCCACAATGTCTTAAGGCTGAGTGAAGGCTAATAAGATACTAACAGACATTTTCTTATGAAGTCACAATATGCAGCTTTCTTTGTCATTCTTAGAGTAACTTGTATATAGTAGTTATTTGCTAGGATCTGGCCATACCAACATGATAATAATAGTCAAATATGATTATGTTAGTGGGCTAGGGAGTTTTTGTTCATACAGATTTAATATATTCATTAATGTATTTTCACAAAAGCAGAATTCAATCTCTGATTTTGAAAATAGTTGACTTGATGCTTGAAAACTGTAAAATGGTATTTTTTCAATTGAACAAAATAGAAAAATAATAACCCAATCACTGAGGTACATTGTAAATTTGTTCTTACTCACTCAAAAAGCCATTGCTCAATTTTTACAAGAGTGTATTTCTGCTCCTCACCCATACTTTGCAAAATATCAGAATAGTACATCAGATTACACTGATGTAATACTGTCCCCTCTTATTGGAAAACACATACTGGATATTTTCCACTTCACATTGTCAATTGCCATTGCTCCTTGTTATATATACAATTGATTCAGATATTCATTGTTGCATGGCAGGATAAATTTAGACAGAAGATCAATATAGCCATACAACAATAAGTGAAAGGGGTTGTGAGAAAATTATTTAGCAAAGTGTGTTTGGAATGAATGAACTCCTTATACAGCTCAGACTAGTGAGGTCTTGTTTTCAAAGGTGTTCATGGTACTAATTAATCAGAATTCTCATTTTGGTGCACAGTTGACTAACATGTTCAGTTGCAGTGCTTTTCTATGTCAATCTGCTCTCTAGAAAACAACTCCTACCATGAGGAATGTGAAACACATTAGAGATTTTACAATAAGGAGATAAATTCCAATTGTAACCATCCTCATTTGCAAAGCAGAGTACAGTAGTCTGCTAAAAAAATGTGTAGTACTTTTCATAACACAACAAAGGATATTTTTATAGTATTTCTTGCACATTATTTTTCTTGAATCTTTCCAAATTCAGGGATGTGTGCCTAGCAATTCTTATTTCACAGATGAGGAAACTAAGCTCTGAATCACCTTACTCTCCAGCGTTCCTTTTCTCCATTGTTTCATTTGTTCCCTACATCCCTGTGAGATTGACTGAACAATTTTACCTAGAATATAAACCAAGACACACATTTGAGTTTTAAGCATCAATTTTAATGAAGTGTTGCTAAAATCATGAGCTACAGATGTCTACCTAAACATAAGTGCCTCCCATGTACTTCTTTGAAATGAATAGCTATATTTACATGTGTGATAGTGTTTTTCTAAAAGAACATGCACAAATAAAAATGCTTTAAAATTAGGAAAGAGCAATGCAAGTTTTATTATAATGTTAGATTTTTGCATTTGAGCCAGTAACATTGGGCAACTGTGTAGTGCTGTATGGAGGCTCTTGGCTGGAATGTAATCATTAAGTTTTTTTTCTTTTTTTTCTTTTGTCAGGAGAGGAGAACTTGATTGGTTGCCTAGCTACTAGTTTCAGCCATAATTCATAAAAAAAAAAAAAAAAGCTTGTTTGGTTCTTTTCTTCTCTGCAGTTTAAATGGAAAGAATTTATATAGGTTTTTTTGCAAGGTTCAAAATACTTTTTAAGGATAGAGGTGAGGGTAGGAACAAATATAAAACCTTTAGTTTTGTTTCCAAGTATTTTAAGTAAAAATGCCACATCAAGTTAATGTTTATTCCAGTGAAAGTGTTAAAATTCAACAAAGCCAGTTAATAATTTTGCATACAACTTTTGGAAGAGTTGTTCTCTTGGATATGTATGGAGCATATTTACTGATTATAAGATTTCAGAGTCCTAACCTTCCACTGCAGCAAGTACTTTCTAAGCTTTCATCCTCCAGACCTAATCTTTTCATCCTTGTAGATCAGCTGTTGTCAACTTTTTGAGGTATCAGGGCCCTTTTTCAGTCTTAAAAATTATTGAAGATCCCAAAGAGTTTTGATTTATATGGGATATACTTACAATATTTATCACATTGGATATTAAAACTGAAATATTAACAATATTTATTTTAAAATAACAGATACATTAGATATTAATATTAATGGCATTCTGATTATTAGCTAATTTCTCATAGTAAAAAAATGGATTTCATCCTTATAAATCTCTTTAATGTATGAGTTACTAGAAAACAGATTCTCTTATCTGCTTTGGCATTAAAATTTTATCCTTGCCACAGAGCTTCTTTAAGTGCCATTTTATGCACAGGAGAGAAAGGGGATGAAAAAGACAAATATTGTCTAAGTATTATTGTGAATATAGTTTTGGTTTAGTGTACTCGTTAAATGGGTCTTGGACATTGCCTGGTGGAATACTTTCAATATGCACTATTTTGGGTCATGGCATAAATATATAATAATGTTTTAATTACATTCACTTTAATTTTCAAAAGTCTCCCTGATCAAACATTGTAAATGTTTAGAAATAACTGGAGGTTTTATTCTATTGGAATTAATGAGCAAAATGGTTAATAAAATTATACTACTTGTATTTATACCTTGCCTCAGTGCAAAAAACAACTTTTGAGTAGTTTGCAGTGATTCATACGTTAAAACAAAACCATAAAAAGTAAATAAGGTGGAAAAGAAAAATTAATAGTAAGAAAATAAGGTGAATAATGTAAAGGTGAGGTAAGTACACAAAAAGTCTTGTCATTCATACATACTAAATTGCTGGTAGGAGATCATAGACTCAATTGTAAGCTCACTGATAATCAGGCAGAAAGGGAATATGTTAGGCCATCCCTGATGTTTTAACTGTATGCATAAAAAATAGCTCCTTGAGGGAAACATGAGTTTTTTCCTAGGGATCCTCATAAAAGCTTGAGGCTTACCTAAGAATGTTCCTATAATACTCAAGTCAAAAACTACAGTAACAGAATCATAAGCTGACTGTATTTTCTCTAGTCCAGTGATGGCAGATCTTTTCCCCCTCAAAGGTATAAGTCAGGAACTTTTTCATTTTAATAAAAGTAAAAACTCATATATTCAGAATTTTCTCAATAGAAACACCACTTACCTAGCACTTCTTTAATTCATCACACTATAAGAATAGTTGAATCAGAAATAAAAGAGATTTTACAGATCATTTAGCACAGTCCTTTATTTCACAGATGAGGAAACTGAAGCAGAGAAAAGTGAAGTGATTGCCCACATCCAACTACAAGGTATTAATGAGACTGGGATGAGACCCCCATTTCTCTGGCACTGTTTCCTGTGTGCTTTTCAGGTTACAGGATAATGTTCATGTGGTCCTAAGATGATTATGGTGGTGGCTCTAAAGTTCAAAAATGTGAATTCAGTTTAGTCCTACTTAAATTGTTATACTATAATCCTTGTAGTAGTGATGCCACATGTGGTGTATATATGTTGTATATAACTTGACTATTCAGATTATATGCTTAAATGGGTCAGTTGTCTTCTAGGCATACTATAACACTATGACACCAACAATTTTCCATATTTACATTTTAAATGAAATTTTAGTTCCCAATTATTCATAATTTAATGGTTAACTTAACCCTTTCTTAGTGGTGAAGTGAATTATACTATGTATCACTCTTTCTTTACCTAAGAGGCTTTCTTTGCCAGTTGTAGTCTTAAGAACATGGAAATGTCAGGGCTTTTAATTGTTTGGAAAGCAATGTTTTTTCACAATTGTCAATTACACTCGATCACCACAGTCCTTTTTATAAGTAGAATTTTTTTTTCATTCCCCTTTTACAGATGAGGATGAGGATCCAAGAACTCAGACCATTTGCTGACATGCATACAGGTAGCACTAAGGTTGAGGCTCTTCCAAGTCACTGTTTTCAAATCCCACATTCTTTCCATAGTAGCAGACAAATTTCACCTTCCTCCCTAATGTCAGACTCTGCCCTCATGTCCTATTGAGCCCTGAAGAGGACTCTACATGAGTGTGTGTGTGTGTGTGTGTACATGCATGTGAGTGTGTCATATGTGTGTGTATCTCTGTGAGTGTTCACATGGGTGTGAATCTGTGTGAGTATGTCTGGTGGGATTGTCTGTTCCCTCTGTATTTGTGTTTTCATGTGACTGTCACACAGCTGTTGATATCTGTGGGAATCAGTGCCTACTGTTATATCTGACTGTGTGCATCTGTGTTGTTGTCAGGATACCTTTGTGCCTGTGTCTGTCTAAACGTGTATCTATCTGAGTTGTGTGTCTGTAGGAGTGTCTGTGAATCTGGGCCTCTCTGAGTCTGTGTCAGTCTGTCTGACTGTCTGTTGTGAGACTGTATGGCAGTATGAGTCTGTATGATAGTGTGTGCATGTCTATCTGGGTCTGTGATCTACTGTCTTGATGTCAGTAGGTATAGCTGTACTTGATTATTTTCATTTTCAGCAGGTAGACCTCAGTCCACCTATGGAGAACGCACATGACAACTCTGCATATGGATGTACTTTGTGCATTCTTTCCATCACTGCTTCCCTCTCAGTACTGTCTTGAATCCTGTTGTCAAAAATGTGCCATTAGGACACTCTGGCAGAGGTTCACTTTTAGCATTCTTGACATTTGCAACTAAGATTAGAATTTCCAAAAGTACTGTCTTCCCGCTATGGATGGAAATGCTTGCTTTTATTTTTGGTACAATCCTGATTTGCCCTTTATGTCTTTTTATAAATGAAGTCAACAGCATTGGTTCTGAGGAAACACAAAGGGTGTCTTATAAATTCATAGCTTAATGACTTCAGTTTTTCTATCTTCTAGACTTTAAAAGTCCCCTGAAGTTCTCAACAAGACCACTCTAAGTTGTTCACTTCTCTTCTGAACACTATAATTTTAAAGAAAAGGTAAACTATAAAATCGGGCTCTTTCTATATATGTTGATGCTAAAATATCAACCTTAAAGTTTACCTCAATATTCCATCTTTAAAATGGAACATGTTTAAAGAAACATTTTAGTGAACTCTTAGTTTAAAAAATTCCATTGCCTTATCAAGAACTTTCTAGGGCTGGGGATGTGACTCAATGGTAGAGTACTTGCCAAGCCCTGGGTTCTATCTCCAACACCATTCAAAGAAAGAAAGAGACAGAGAGACAGAGAGACAGGGGCGGCGGGGGAGACCTTTCTGTTCTTTTAAAAACGTGACATGAGTTCCCTGATCTTAGTTACACTTCTGCAAGGGAGGTTGGAAGTAAGTTTAGTCTTTCTTATTCTAGATAATATATCGTATCAAAATGATATCCCCAGGTCTAAGCAAACATCATGAATGGAAGAGGGAACATGACATTTTATAATAGGTCATATCTACATCAAGATTTCAGCTTCACAGCCTAATGATCTTTTCACTTCAACACACAAGTAGTATAAGCTGTTTCACCTGTAGCCTGTTACTTTCTAGTGCCTTTGTTTACTCACTGGGAAGGCAGAAATGATAAATATACAAAGTTGTGGGCAAAATTAAATAAAATAATGTGTTTAAAGTAAGGCAGATGCAAGTAAATATTTTTCTGGCTTCCTCAGTATTGTTTGCAACCATAGGACATCACAGGAGTTAGAAGGGAAGTGTTCGTCATCAGACATGTGGGCTTGCATTAAATGCTTGGGATTCAGAGAAATATTGGTTCTTTCTTGCCCTGAGGGATGGTGTAGTCTGATTTGGGACACAGGATAGTTTCCTAAAAGGGAATCAGACAATATAGAATCCAAGAGCCAAAATGTGGGAAATAAGTTGCAAGGTCATGTAATGTCCCGAAGATAAAGGGAGCCTCCGGACCAATGGCTGAGTGGAAAGAGAAGTTCTGGGGAACAGGAAGGGCTTGAACTGCCTCTCCGAAAGGACAAGCAGGATAGAATATGCAGAGAAGTGTTCCAAGTGGGGCCCCAACATGAGTATGGATGGGACATGTGTCTTCTTTCCCTATGGCGATTGAAGTGGAGAACAGATCAATCAGGAGGAGCAGCATCTGAGTAAGAGGGCAGCAAGGTTCAGGTAACAGAAGCCTTGAATGCTCAGCTAAGAAATTTAATCCACAGGTTGTTTTTATGAGTGTGTGTGTGTGTGTATGTGTGTGTGTGTGTGTGTGTGTGTGTGTGTGTGTACATGTGAAAGAGACACAGAGGTAGAGAAACACAGAGGGAGAGAATGAATTTAAAATAATGGTAGTGATAACTGAGATAGATTGAGGATATTTCTCCATATAGATAAAATTGCAGAAAGTCAAGTTGTTCCATAGCAACTATAGAAACAACTAATAAGTGATTCTTTTTCAGAGGGAAAAACCTCAGGGATATAGGATTATAAACACAAATGAATATTTGAAGTAATTAACATAATTTATAGGTATTGATGTATAAGAAATACTTTTATACAAAATTCTCATTTAATGTTCACAAAAATTCTGTTAAGTAGGGATTATTATTATCTGTTGTTGTCTCCCTTTTCAAATTAAAAACAATCACAAAAGCACTGAGCAGTCAGTTGTGTGGGCAAATCTAGGTCCAAATATCAGCTCTTTAGTCTCCACTTTGTGCTACTCCACATTACTATTATTGCTAACGTGGAACAAGAGTCCCTGTGTCCCTAACACTGAGCCTAAAATGCTCAGGCATTATTCATTGATTATGATTGCTTATGACTAGACACCTGATCTGAAAGTATTAGTTACTCTTATTGAGATAAACATTTCTTTTCATCAGGATCTGTCTGTGTTATTGAATGTGTCTGGTCTTCCTCAGGCAGAGGATTTTCACAAGGTCTATAGGAGGGTTGCTTCTTGCTAGACTTTAGAAGAATTTTGATGTCACTTCTAGCCATCCCAAGTTGCTTGGCATCACTGCCCCTTTCTCCTGTCTTCTGTTTTGGAAGTTGTGAGTCCATTGCTCACACATCTCTGTCTACTTGTAGTATAAGAATATAAGTCTCTTCCTTTCTCCCTCTGAGTTCCTTCTCTCCCTCCTCCCTTCTTTCTCTTCTCCCTCTCCCTATTTTACCTTCTCTCCCTCCCTCTCTTCTTCCTTATCTTCTCACTGCAATCTTACAGCCTATTGCAGTTAGGGTGCAGTCTCTGACCACAGATGATTTTTCTCCCAAAGTCTTATTGTTACAAGAGGTGACTGTGATTTCTAGATCTTTCTGTAGCTCTCACATATAATAATCTCTCTCCTTGCACCATGTCCTTAATATCAGCAGGGTCACAGGAGCTCCTGTCTGTGCATCTTCAGTGTGCAGGGGGTGGGGAGGGACCCAAAATTGCATAAGAATTACCATACACAATGAGGTAGCACAGTAGAGGGGACTTGAGAGACAACCAGTATAAATTCATGAAGAATTTAACACTGATTTTATTTACATAGATGGTTAGGCAGTAAAGTCTTAGACTTGAATAACTTCTGAAAGTTAAATCTATAAAATACTGATTTGTAAATCTTTGGAAGCCAGTTTGGATGATGGGTTTCCTGATTGCATGAGCTGTACCTAAAACTGAGTCAAGTTTCATAAATTAAGCCCTGCAAAACAAAAGACATTCCGCCTGGATTTTAAAGCTGGAGACCTGTTTTCTAAGCTACAATGTATGGGGATCTTGGGGAAGCTGCTAATCTTACGGAGCTTCGGTGTGTTTTGAAGAATTGGTAGATTATGCCTTACAAACGAGATAATATGTGGAAAGGGCTTTATTGCTTATATGATGTCATCATGGCTGGGCATGGCCACGTGTTATGTGAGGTAGGGGAACTGAGTCAGTGGTTTCTTCTGAGAAAGGGTAGTGTGTTATGCTGTGTGCCTTTTGCCTTCAGCCTCATTGCAATGGAGGTCAAAGCTGCCTTAGGCTGCATAAATAAGGAGCATGTCCTCACTATTTTTCATAAATAAAACAATTTTGATTATCATCTTTGTGTGTGGTGGTGTGAAGGAGAGGTTGTAGAAAGGAAGTGAAGTCTGTTTTATGTAAATCAAGTCTGTTGTACCAATGATCTCTGGAGTTTATAGGAAACATTTACTTTTTTCAAATAATTTGTTGAAGACTGAGAATTAGCTAAATGTAGGTGGATATACTGATCAGTACAATACAAGAAGATCAAAACACTGCACATTAATGAATTTCATGTGGCTTTGTGTCGACTGGTTTTCTGGGATAATTTTCTCAAACTTTTATAGTATTAGAAGGTAATTTAATGAGAGAAAAAACTACCTAAAGGTGATGTTTGAGGGAATATTAAGTATTGATTTATCTTCAAATAAAAACCATACTAAAGAGTGCAGTTTTCAATTAAAGCAATTTATCCAGAAGGTGAAGTATGTGACTATTTATAACAATGCACAATGATTTTAAAACAACTGAAAGTACAAGTGTGAGCCTGCAGATATTTTAACTGGTCTTCACTGGAAGGCTAGTATTTCAAGCCAAACAGTTCCTAAATAGATTATATTTATTTTAAAACTTGTTTATTTTGTTCTGAGCATTCTAATAATACAGCCCTTTATGTCATATTACCAATAAAAGAACATAGTCCACAACTCAAAGACTTACTTAAATGGCAGGTTTTAACATGCTGGTCCTGGTGCAAGGCAAGAAGGTTAGCTAGCTTTATGAGCAGTTCTTTGGTTTTGGCAGTAAGGTAAGAGGGTGGAGTTTTACTCTTTTGTTTATCACTTTGGCTATGGAAAACTAAAATTTTGTTCATAGTATAAATTTGAATATGCATTTATTCAGAGAAAAGCAAATTTAGATTTTAAAGATCTTGCTGTTCTTTGTGTCAAATATTGCAGTAGAATTAAATAAACTATAAAACTATATTCTTAAAACCTTTGTAGCTTGTATAATTGTTACAATCTTCTTAAGTCATTAATTAGTCTGAAAGAACCCTTAAAAATTCTGCAAATATTTAAAAGCTCTGCTAATTATAATGCTTACATGGAAAGTTGTTTGTTCTATGAATACCTGTTTTTTTTCCTCGATACTATGCAAATCCAATTTTGGTAACTGTCATTATTCTATCTTTGGGACTAAGTGAATGATTTCTCTTATATTCTGCTCTGGCTAATTTTCCAGGTTTTTCCTAACCTATGAAGGGGATGGAGAGGGACCAGGAGAGGTGCTGTTCAAACTTTAGGAAGAAGTGCATGCTTGTTTATTGATAGCTCAGTAGGAGAGGCCTTAGAGGTGTTGCATTTAATTTCATTTAGAAATTTTAGCCTATGATCTAAGGATCTAAGCACCAATTCTAATTTTTCAGGAATGATTATTCAAATACTTTGAAGCACTTGCCTTTAGACCAAGAATTCAGATTCTACATTTGAAAGTGTCTTTGTATTTAGCTTCCAAACTTCAGTTATTAGCTTGAGTTCTAATTCATGAATTAAGTCATAAATTCGGCTCCAATGCTGTGATCATCTTGATATTTAAGTTATTGAAATATAAAGCTGAAGATTGACTTCAGAGTTACTAAGAAATAAAGTTGGAGCGTTCTCGATCCTCACTGTCCTGGTCTATTACATATTATATTTCAGTTTCTAATTTCTGAATGTAGAGATGACAGCCCTTTCCCTCTAATACAATACAGCAAATAAAAAGTTCTACCCAAAATGTACATTAAGATGAAAAAAATTTCCTTTTGTGCCAATTAGATTCTGCTGTGAAGAGCAGGTGATCTTTATTTCTATTTTACTTATTTGTCTATGTTTGCCATTTGTGCTCACAGTGGAAGGGAATAATAAGCACTTGCACCCAGTGCTCTGTTTGCTGGCTCTCTGATGACAAATGGCTGATATGTGGAGCGCCCATACCTCATTTACATCACATGCATAATGTACTCTATCTGGGATATT